GACTGATGACGTTACGTAGCTGAAGCAGGCTGGAGCAATTAGTGTACGTATCCTTGGGCTCAACAGCGAGCTATTTCAGCCATGAATCACTGGCTTGAGACCCATCATACGATGAGAGTGAAGAGCAACAAAATTGCATTTCATTTCGTAAAAAAATTCGCAAAAACCGGAAGGGCTGCTATGCGTTCACAGGACCGCCGCACATGGGTCACAAATGCTGGCGGCGGGGATGCTTCCATTCGATTTTCGGTGTGCCTTCACTAGAAACTCTCTGGCCTTCTGCTTTATTGCATTAACATCGTACACTTCTACTGCATCCTATTCTATCGATCGGTTTATCTCTACTCTCCAAGATTTCACGCTTGAACCCTTTGCATCGTCTGATACGTAGCCGCCCCTAGGCGGACTTCTTTCCATGCCCCGCCTTTGGCTCCGCGCCTTTTACCTTCGATTGTCCATAGAGTGTAGTTTTTGCAAGTTTGTTTCTCTTGGGAACCCGAATCTTCAAGCGTGAAATTTTGTATGCTGTTTCCAGTGATCACAACTGATACATTCGTGCTGAGAAAGAATTTTCCACGAAGGATTCCTTTGAAGTTTCCATCAAAGGCTTCGTGCTGTGTGACGGAAAGTTTGCTGATGTGTTCCATGAGCAGAAAGTTCTTTTGCCCCCTCACCCTCCCTGGATGTTCATAGTTGAGACTAAAAAATAGATACTGAAACAGTTTAGAAACGTTCTGATATTTTTGCGCTCTCTATTCTAACAATCTAAGTCAGTGTCACCTAATGGGGCCATCTCTCTTTTTCGAGGAGACATGTAAAATCACTCCAGGGTATGGAAGTAGTAGTTCTTTTCAGGTTTCATCAGCCACTTTTTGGATCTATTCTGAGTTCCGGAGATCATTCGGTACCTGGACAAACCTGGTCAGCGGTCAGCGGTTAAGCCAGTTTGTGGTGACTTTTTCGAGGTGGACGTCGCCTTCTCTGATAAAAGCCGTCGTCTCCAGGCATGGGTCTCTTTCTCAATTTTCGTGGCACACTCTGGTAGCATGACTAATTTTAGCGCATTTTCAATAAGGTTATTCGTTCCGTTTTTTGAACTGTGCGACAATATCTTTCTTCTTGATTCCGTAGCTGATATGAGCGCTTTCACACACGTCCTGACATGAGCGCGATAGTATGCTAGCTGTGTTGTTCTTTAAAAGAAAATTTTGAAGTTCAGCCGTACGTTGATTTCTGAAGAAAATGCCCCGATTGTGCTATGACTCCAACCCGGATCTCACGTTCTTCAATGAAGTGTGCTAACCATTACGCTACTGAAGAGATTTTTCATCATGACGCCGGTTTAAGACATACCCTCCCTCTCAAAATACGAGGGGAGCGTCGGGTGCAGACAGTACACCGCAAGTGAAGGCTGCCTTCACAATATGTTATTTTTTCTGCCAATGAAATGATTAGCCTGTTGTTGTTGTTGTATTCTATCAGTTGTCCCTAATTGCGGTTATCGTTCAACAAAATCAGCTATCACCATGAACCACTACTAACCAGGTTTACTTTGAGGCTGTCGTCAGTTGTGACGTGTGGTCTGCACCCGACGCTCTTCTCGTTTTTGAAAGGAAGGATATATTTATTTTTTAAACTGCCTACTGGTGTGTCCAAAAAACAGACTCCTGTTAGTTGACATAGAACGAAGGAAGAAAACAAATAATTATAATAGTAGTTAATAATGCAAAGCAAACAAAGGAGTTGTGTCAGATTCGGGCGAACTTTATTAGACGAGCTTTCGGTCCAGGTAGAACGGTGGATCCTTTATTCCTCGGCTGTAACGAAGGAGGGTGAAATACAAGCAGTACTAGTAGTGGAATTCACATCCCACGGGATTTTCTTCTAGTGTAGCCAGAATTCGAGGGATTCATCTGAGTATTAGTAACATGTTTCCAAGTACTTTGTCATCTCTGAAAGTGGAAATGATAAAAATGCTGGCTTGCACATCATGTGTATTGCCAAATAACATCGAAACACTCAAGTCCCATTTCGATGGATGTGGGATTTGTGGCGCATTCCAAAAAGAGATTCAAAACCGTCGCATAAAATGGACAGGATTGTAGTCCCGTACCACTTATAAAAATTGTTATTAAATCGGATGAAAGTCGTAAGTAAATAATCACAAAATCAATTGTCGAGTAGTTCTTCGAAGTATCTTCCATTTATTAAGAATTCACAGTTTTGAAGACAAAATTAGTTATCAATTGGAGTGGAAATTTCGGTCGTGCCGAACTTGCGTTGTATTATTATTCAATGTTCCGATCGCAAAATTGGTTCTCATTTTTTTGTTACTGGCGTCTACACAGCGCCAGGTTGGCGCATAGAACCTTCTAAGGTCGCGGTTGTGATCGCAATGAAAACGAAATCGCACGAAGGATTGCATATATTGGAATGAACTCCCGGGAGAAACATCGATTACTGGCCCCCGGAAACCGAACTGAACTGATGTTTTGTTACCGATTCTCTTTCACCAAAGAACTGTAGCGGTGGTGAGACTAAGATTTTACAACAGTAATAATAATAATTTTCAGGTGACAACCCAGTTCGGGGGGGGGGGGCACTCCCTTGCTATCTTATCCGTATAATAGAAGCATTCCTTTGGTCTCGAACACTACGGATAAAGTATAAGTTAAGACTCAATTCGAGCTATTTTGATAAGGACCGGTGATTCCTTCCACACTACCCGTGCCACATCCGAGTCCACTTTATCTGCAAAGGTGATCCCCTCTGGCCCTCCTGCCCTTAGCCGTTTTGTGAAGGTGTCCTGTTTCTCTGTCGCATGGACGCGTTCCGCGTTGGGTGATGGCGGAACTCGTGACAAACGTTCAGGGTTCTGACCCATATTACCGATACCCTCATCTTACCACCGAATTATCAGAAGTCTACTTAACTGAGTCGATCATCGAGTCGTAAGCCCTCCAATCCCACTAGTTTATGGAGAAAAAATGTGCCCCCACCCCCCGAACTGGAGTTTCACCAATTTTACACATTGAACGGCGCTCCTATCGTCTATCTCTGCACCTTTTTTGTTCTTTTTTCATCATCTGTGTTTACTAATTCAATAATTTTAATATTATCAAAGAACGAGGAGACCGTCGAATCCGAGAAACTAAAAAGTGTTCCAAAGCTTGAAAAAATCCACATAAATAAAGAAAAACTAGGCTTCCCCGTGCGCAAACGTGACGCACAACTGCATCACGCTGTCGTAAATGTGTTAAACACAATATTATATGGCTCATTTCAATTGTAATGTCGATTAGCTGCTGAGAAAAGGTCCCCTGTTTTGAACTTCCGGCCTCGCATCGAAACGCAAAAACACTGGAGTGGCCCCGATCCAGATCGTAAAAAGAAGAAGGCTGGACGATGTCAAAGGATTCGAAGATATTCGGGTCAGTGAATTGTAGTTGTGGGTAAGGTGTTCATGTATAGTTGCACTTGAAGGTCATTGGGGTATTGTGGTGAACTCAGCGCATTTTTGATGCCGGCAGGAAAATGCATAGAACAATTTGCTTGGTCACTTAAAAAAGGCAAAGAAGGAAGAACAGCTCTATTTTGTAAAAGCACTAGACAAAATGAAATGCTGAAAATTATGCTCGAATTTGTAGATATAAAAAAACAAATTATTCGACTAGAACAAGCATGGTGAATCTCATTATTTGTAAGAAACATCAAAATAGTATAATCGTACCCGTGGGCCACCTCATCGGAAATTCTAATAGAATTTCTAGCCGTGCTGCGTGGTCCACTTATTAATTTTCTTTAATGTTTTTTCATTACAGAATACTAGAGCACTTGAGCGGAATATTCAAGAAAATATAGGTCAAGTCTTATTGCCTTATATTACTCAATTTTTTGACGTTGCACTTGCTTAATATTATTGTTGTTTACACATGCGAGAGAATGCAATAAAGTAGGTAAGTAGAAAGTTCTCAAAAGGAGGCTGCATTAGGTAGAACTGCGAGTAAATTTTTGAATATGTCAGAGATACGTGAATTTTTGGGGACGACTCATGAGAGATTGGAAGATTTTATTGAAATTGAATGTACTTTCAGAATTTCGTAAAAACCACATATTATACAGAAATTCTGGAATTTTTGCTGTTTCCTCCATCCGCTTACCAGCGACAATTTCTGGGCAAAGACAACGGCTAGGTCAAGGTGGACGCTTAGAATGCGGGTAGGATAGTAGGAGGGAGCTTTAGGTGAAAGTGATTTGTAGTACCTAATTCAAATCTACGCGGCTATCAAGATGAATTTGCAATTTGAAGGAGAAACTGAACTTATAGTGATTCCTCTCAAATTTGGATGGGCATCAAGAACAAGTTGAAGGGTTAAAAGCTTTTGTTTGGATTGGAAGGGGAATCGAAGCAGGTTTTCGAGCGTGAACACTTCAGTGTTGCTCAGCAATGTAGAACCATTCCTGTTTGAAGCTTCATTTGAGGATGGTGGACACGACTATTGCCCTTCGAATGTTTTTGAACCATGTTTGTTAATTCGAAGTTTCTTTTCTTCGATGCTAAAGTTTTTCTCAAAATGAACCGGCCGGCAAGTGCCTTTGGTTGATTACGGTCCAACCGCTAAGCTATTGGCTCAACTCTTCTATAGTTTGACCTTTTCGCTCCTTTATGGTCCGAGCGTGAAGTTTCTTCGTGCACTTGCGCGAACACGTTGGCTGATCTCAGGCGAAAATATCGCCCGAGATCCACAACAAGATAAGCAAATGCGTTGCATCATCGGGACGTGCCGCTGTCTGACCTGAATATCGTTGTTCAGAGGGGGGTGCTATTTCGGAAAGGGCGAGCGAAGTAGGTCACAGGCCGATCCGGTGGGTTCGGGCGTTGGGCCTTGACCCGCCCAGTTGTCGTTCGCCTCCCGATCCCACCCTCAACGCTTCGGAGATTCACATTCCTGCTATAGACAGACCACCACCGAAGCAGCAGCTGCATCAGTCGCGTCTCGATGACAGCTCTGATTTTCACCGCCGTCATCGGCTTGCTAGCCGTCGCCACACAAGCACTTGCACAGGATGATCCCACGCAACCTGTCGTTATACGACTTCATCCAATGTCCACCAAGCCAAGATTCCTATCCGAGGTTTGTAACTATGTCGCCCTCATTGCCAGCATTTGAAAAGCCTTACTATTGGCTTAGGTTTCTGCTCCACGAGCTGTGCAAGCGCCAGTGGTGCCACCATCTCGCCCAAATTCTGTAGCACCTGCGACATCCGCTGCCCAACAGGTTTATTTAAACTTATTTTAGACGGTCAGCCCACTTTTTTCAATTCAGGACCTCTACTCAAAGAAGTTTTTAGCCACTACCTCCATCACCTCCTGCAGCACAACAACCGGTATTCCAACAAACTGCACCACCTGGTAGCCAGCAATTCGTACCACGAACAGGCGCCAGCGTACCACCTCCACCTCCAGTCACAATCCCTCCTGATGTTCAAAACCAGTTAATCAAGTTCTTTGGACTAGATTCATTCGGAATACCAGGGCTTACTGGAAATCACCCCAATGGATTTGCTGGTGCTGTTCAGGTAAAAAGCTCTACAACTCGGATTAGACCGGAAACAAGCATGCCAATTGGGATTTAGGAATTGCGCGCTGCAGGAATTCCCGTTCAAGGGCTACCGGCAGAGCACCTCAACGGGAACGCTGTTGCTCATGCAGCTCCTACCCAGTCAGGTGAGAAATTTCGTTTTTTGTTCGCTACATTTTATTGTGATTTTCTGTAATAAATAACTATGTTGTAGACATTCTCGCACAAGCCAACCCGAAATTCCAAGATCAAATTAGCCAGCTGGTAAATGAGGCTCGAAATCCCGGCCCCTATGATGGAGCAGGAGCTCAGGTCCCGCTTCCCGCTGATAAGCCTGGAGAGAATGGGCTCATCGGATTACTGTCCAATTCTATTCGAAAACTCGTTAAAGAAAGTGAGTAAGGTGTTTAGGCTTGATTTGAATTGCGTTGTTATAGGTAATGTTGGTGTTTTCCAGCCGGAGTATCAGACGCACTCTCACAGTCGTTACCATCGCTCCTCGGCAATCCCCATGCGTCAGGCTCTCGCTACGCTGCAGGTGCTTCCGGAGCGTCGGCTTCATCACAGGATGGTCCCGTTGTCTCCCAGTCGGTTGACGATAATGCCGTGACAAATCATGTCCGTGGATCGAATATCCGCCGTCAACCGTCCACAGCTCAACGTGCCCTCTCTGGAATCTCATCCTTCCTAGGAGGAGGTCAGTCCTCTATAGTTCCTTATCACATTAATGTTAATTTTTTACTTTGAAGAATTCTTCTAAACCTGATAAAGTTACTTCAAAATTGCTGATTCAGGTGGAGGTAACACTCCTACTCACGCTGGACTGCCAAGGATCCCAGGAATTCCCCTTTTGCCTGGTGGTATTCCCCGAAACGCTCAGGGTCAAATCGATGTCGTCAATCTTATTGGTTAGTTATCCTTGAATTTTCTGAAGTTTTCTAGGCCTATGTTTCTCAAGTCGGTAGCCTACTAATTAGTCATTTTGTAACATATTTTCCGATTGCGACCCAATGATATGGAAGTGTGTTAGTAGCGCATCGTCACATTCAGGTCACTTGCGCGCGCACGCGCTCATGCACGCAACCAGACATGTGTAATAGATCGGTATCAGACAATTGTTTCTCTAGGCGGAAATTGAGGGATATCAGCTGATTCACGAATATTCGAAATTTCAGGATCAATCACTCGACGGCTATCTAATGGAACCACCCTCGCCGACATGCTGCCACCTGAGCAACTTCAGACATTGGCCGACAATGTCACCGATGCTCTTCTGCCTGAAACTCCTTCCAATTTCGACCTCAGCAAATTTATGGGACGATGGTTCGAGGGAATCAACTCACCACGAGCCACTGAACAACGATGTGTCGTGCATCACTGTGAGCATTTTTTATTCTTCCATGATTTTCGCTCCTTGAGATTTTGTTGGTTAGAGGTCAGAGGGCGAGAGCGCACTCTGCGTCTCTGCCCGTACACTTTTCTGCAAACTTACGAAGGGATTTCCGTAGGCTTTCATATATTCTGTTACCGGGAAACCACATAATCATTGATTGGCTACGTAACCCTCTATTCCAGATGGAGGACTAACCAAGAACGACAAGACGGCGACCTTCACGGCCCTAAAGATTTACAGAGAAGGATCTGAATTTGGCCCTGTCAGGTGATTTTTTGAAGTAATTACAATTATAGCGTTACTATTGCATTCATGTGTTTACAAGGCTGTACTTGAAACATAGAATCTTTCGAATTTCAAACCTGGCTTTCAGATACTCGATCGGTTATGCCTTCCGAGGCGGAAACAAAGACGCTATGTTGCAATTGCACACCAGCGAGAGCAGTGATGCTCAACCATGTAAATCTATACCATATTGATTGATTCGCATGTTTTTAGATTCGTATCTAAACATGTGATTTCAGTCTGGATATACAAGCTTGGTCCCGAAGGAAAGGATCCATTCGGTAATCCACAATACGAGTACGCTATCGTATCCAATTGGGTACGGTATCCAGTAACGGTATTGGTACGAGATCCTGACACGTTCAAGCAAAAGTACCAAACTGAGGTTTGTCTTCAAAAAATGTTGCTGCTGAAAACTTGAACATTAGCTCTAACGAAAGAGTATAAACTGTGTGTGTGGTCCGATTTGAACTGACCTTGGCGGAAATCTAGGTGATCAGAGAGACGGGCTGGGATGATGGCTGAAAGACGGGCTGAGAATGACAGTTTGAACAATTAAGGACTTTGATGGATTGTTTACTAGTTTAGCCTACTTGTAAACTCAAGAAGAGACGGAAACTTTGAAAGTCAAGTAAAATAAGCGTCTATTCTTCTGAAATCCCATAGTAAAATTGAAGCTCAAAATTCTCTATTTCAGGTGTTGCGCTGGTTAGAAGACCAAGGCTTCATCAACGGCTTTATCCGGGCCTTCAACCTCTTGCAACCGTCGGGCTATTCCAGCTGTCAGTACGCTGACAGCACATTCGAAGTGTTCGGCAAGTAATCACTTCCGGTCACATCTCGCCATTACTCAGTGAAAACCTCCAAACATTCCACTGTTGACAACGCTGTACATTAAAATGCTACCGAATGATTGTTACAGTTACATAATAATAATAAATCTCAGTTCATAAATCACTGTTGTACAGACGCATATGTTTTGATGTGGCGCCGTACATATCCTTGACGAATTGTGACCCATTAGTACTCGGGTACGGCACGATAGGTAATGAGGACGCTGAACTCGGCCGCAATGAATTAAAAACCTTTGAATGAGATACCTTGACCTACGAGACCGGTTGTTATGTGTACTTGATAATGGCCGAATCAGGGTTTTCGATGGTCTAGCCGTCATCGCCGCCGCCGCCACCGGCCGCCTCAACCGCAATAGGCGCGAAGGTCACACAGACAGGCAGTCATTGCGCAGTCATGCTCAGGAACACCCTCATCCTCTTCGGTGTCCTCGTCATCCCATCGGTACTCGCTATCGGCGAGAACACGGTAAGTATCACAACTTATCTCACCTTAGCCAAGATAAGATCACAACGATCTTGATAGGGATGTCCTCAGACCCGGCACGCTTCCAGCACCTACCGTATGCGAGTGGTCGGAAGCCTTAGGGATCCTGTCAAGGGCCCTGGCTCCTGGAATCCAAATCTGTCGTTTCAGAATTGCAAGACCATTTGTTCATTACCTACGATCTTATAATATTAAATGATAATCCCCTTTGAGGTGCTGCTGACATACCCTACTCCTTAGTACCGTGCGGTAACTTACCAGCTCAGATATTTGCTAAAAGATTTGATACAACCGAGTCGTGATCCTTTGAGAGTTTTGCATAACCACGTTTTTTTCTTACCCTATGGGCCTGGAGGAAATTGCCTTCCGTGACTAAGAACTTCAAAATGGCAGTTCAAATAGCCACAGCCCACCAAGCGTTGCTAACACTGACCAATATACTGGTTATAAGTGAGCCATACTTACTAATTATTGAAGAAGCTCCTTTTTTATTGGACGGTGTAAAGAGGACCATGTAACTTTGAGTATTCTTACCTACATATAGCTTCCTAGTCCAGAAAGTGAATAGTAAGTATTAGATTGGGTAAAAAAAACCTTTACACCCATTTCAAGTTCACTTAAGGAGAAAACCCCTTGAAACGCGCTCAAAATTCAAATTTGTGGATAATTCAGGGCTGCTTGAAGATTCACAATAACCAACATTAGAACGAAAAAATTCGAATTAATCTTAGGTGTAAAGAACTTTTTCTCAACCTGGTTATAGAAAGAAACTAACCCTTACTATTCCCGTACTCTATAGAAACAACCATTGGAGGAGCATGAGGCTCAATCTTACCACTTCTGCTTCAAATTCCCAATCAAATGGCTTTGTTGTTCGATTTTGAGTCTCATTGATGCGAACGCAATTAGTTTGCAATTAGTGATTATCCTATTTTACTCAAGTAACCACCAAAGTGAAGAGAATAAGCGAGGCATGCGAATCTAAAATTTCTAACTTTAAACAAGTAAATAAATTTATTTAGATGGACATTAACACAATCACCGGAATTATTGGCGGTCTAGGACGAATGCTGGAAACCAATGTTGACACTATCAATGTACCGTCGGAGTTAATAATGGGACGGTGGTTCCAGGTTAGCAAATATCCGGCTATTTACCTACTGGTCACTTACCTTGGAGTGAAGTCGTACAGGAACTCCAAGGCTTAACTTCAAGTGAAGGCTAAGCTCTTTTAGCTACTGGCGCTATCGTAGGGTTGTTTTTCAGATGTACAAAGCAGCCATAAATTTCGACGTATTCCGAACTCAGATGTTCTGTCCTATTGCTTACTGTGAGTTACCCGTAACCGTTGTCCCAGTTTCGGGCCTGGAAATTGGACCATTCCCACAGAGTGCCCATACATATAACCTACCTATTACAGTCTCGCCAAATCCGATTATGGGTGAAGACGGTTTCTCCATGGAAGAGGCCTATAGAACGGTGTCAAAGACCGGGCCAATTGAGACATACAAAAGGGACATGAACAAAGTAGGACCCGGTCAGTACTGGATGTACACGGAAGAGTACTTCTACCCCAGACAATGTGAGCGTTTGAACTATTTTACAGGTGTAGTACTTGAGGTACTATTGAAGAAGCAATTTTAGTCTACATCATCGCGGCTGGTCCATCATTCCACAACGAGACTGGCAAAGCAGATGAACCCATTCAGTACATCGCCGTGACGGACGCTAATCGACTATCCCTTGCAGTCTACGCCCGGGACCCTCACACCTTCTTCCAGGTAATATTTTGTGATTTTTAGTGTAGGTCTGTAAAGTCTTGCCTGTCTAATTAGGTGTCTAACGAGAGCATTAAGATTAGCTAGCGTATTAGGGTTTTGTTGTAGAGAGATGAATATCTTATCAGAAGAACCAAATCGAGTTTTCATTCCACGGATGATCGCGTTGACCCGAAGCCCTGGCGTCAATCTTAGGATCTTGTTACACAAGGTGCCGCCTTACGCAATGTCGCACGCAGAACGAGCTCCGAAATGAGCGCGCGATAGAAAAAATTTGGGTCATTCCATGAAAATCAGCATTATGTAACCTCTGTCCCAATTTATTATCATCGCCGCTTAAAGACCACCAACGAATTAAATGGAGCGATTGGCAACGTGACAATAAAATGAGGAAACACTTAGTGGACTTATGAGATGGGTTACCTACATTCCTGGAGGTCTACCATAAAATGGGATGGTAGTGAGAATAGGAGAGATCTTGGTGAGCCAGTAAAAGTGACTCATCGATTTGGGTCCTGAAGCGAAAGCACTTATGACAACCCATTACAGAAGTACAATAAGGACATTCTCGAGTTCATGGAGAAGAAAGGTTTTGGTGGTCGTGTGTTCTGGAACAGTCCTCGTCCTATCTATCAAGGACCAGACTGCGAATGGCCCTCAGAGAAGGAGGTCTTTGCCAGACGGTGAGCTCAATATTTTCAAAGTTGGCTTTATCTGACCATTGATGATTGTCCTGCAATTGGGTTTTAACTTGCTCCAGATTCGATGCCATCAAGCATTTTGAGGGGCAGGGGAGGGACCTCATTGTAAAACTTAGGAGAACCCCTCACTCTTGATTTGGACCTATTCCGCTGTTCCGCTGCGGAAGATTAGTTTATTTTTTAAGAAAAGGGAAAACGTTGAGATAGAAACACTCGAATGTGGTAAACTCCAAAACAGCACTTCTTGTGAAAATAGTCGAAGATCTAAAGTATCGTCGCTAATGTTCTATATTGAAATAGCCCTAAGAGCCACCCCCCCCCCCCTCCCCCAAACCACCTCTTTGTCTGGAAGACTGTAAGAAATCTCGTGGTCTCCAGCAGTACCCTGCCCATGATGAAAGGTTCAAGATGAGGTCGGGATCTTTTCAAGAAAATAGTTCTCCAGACCTAGTTAACTAAAGCTCGAAAAACCTAGCGTACTGAAAGATCACGGTTCCAGTCAGGTAGGAAACTTCGGTGGGTAAGTAGGTAACCTGAGGGAAGAAATAATCTGTGTGTTAGGGATGTAGTTCTTCCTTTCATTGTCGAAAGAAGTTCAGCTAAAAGCGAAATGAGTTTTTGGAGGTGTTCTCTCGGTGTTTGCTCAATTTTCGCTGTTTCAGAGTTCTGAAGAACCAGGAGCTAGCCGAACGCAGCCGCAATGGCACCGCCGAGCCAGCCATGTCCGGTATGCCATTGGCGGATATACTGCGTGATCCGAAGAAGACACTCGAGCGTCTCGTCGGCACTCAAGGTCACTGATTCGCCTCGACCACCACGACTCACTGACCTCGTTTCGCCACACCATCGTCGTCATCGCCACCGTCCGTAGCCGCGCTGGTCGCCGCACTCAGGTCCACCCATCGACGACGCCCTCCGTCGTTGTGTTAACGCCGTCGCCACAGCCTTCCCAACCCCCACGCTAACCACATAATATCTCTGTTTGTGTGTCTCTGTGTATCTCGCAATAAATCGTGTCATAAAGGGCATTCAGTCTCTGTGTCGATCAGCTCCGTCGCAGCGTTCTCCTAGAAGTGTCCAGTAGCGCCGCGGATCAGTCGGATATGCAGTGGTTGTGTGCGTTGGTCGTTGCCGTGGTCATCTCGTCGGCTGCCGGTCAGCACGACGCGTTCGCCTTACCACAAGCGCCTCGCTTTGCCCCGAAACCCACGGTACCACCTGAGTATTCGTCATTCTTCGAGCTTGACGGTCATGCCCGTGAACTCGTTGACTCGCTGCTGGGACCACGTCCAGGTGGTCTTTTCCCCGAAAAGACCTATGAGATTGGCGCACCAGCAGAGCCGGCTGCCGGCAACAAACCAGTGCACGTACCTTCGACTCTCGAACGCACCCTCGAGCAGTTTTTCACTGCTCCTGAGCCGGCAAGTGGCCAGGCGCTACCTCCTGGATTCGGCGCTGGATTCTCTTTATTGAACAATAACAAGCCTGTGACCACATTCGGCTCCACTATGCGCAGAGCTCCAGAGGTTAGTACTTGTTTTTTTCCTGTTTTTTGACTATGTGCTTTTTTGAGGCAGAGAAATCGGGTTCATTCACGTCAAGTGAACATCCCGTACGAAATCGTTAATCACTGAACCAATCTACGTGAAAACGAAATCCTTTGACCGAGTTGTCGTAACCGTCGAGATGTGGTTTTCTTTGATTGATGATAGCACTGGGAATCGTTTAATCCGATTACCTGCTGGATTCGCATTTCAATTCAGAACTAGGCCACAGTCTATGAGCACGGCTACAGTAATCCTAACTAGATATAGTGAAATTTTGTAAACAAATTCTGACAAAAAACAATTAGCAAGAGAAATATCAACAATATTTGATGGGACCCAACAAACTGCTCACTAAATGACTTTCTTTTGCAGAAGAGCGTCACAGGAGAAGTTGAAGGTTCAGGTGAAGAGCCTAAAAGTTCCATCATGGGTATTCCAAAGGTAGGTTAAATCGTTTTAAAGCTACTCAATGATTGTAAGTAGTGAGGTGAGCTTCAAACGTGATCTTTAAGGTGTTCCCAAAACTTCCCAAAGCTCCCATTTCTCAGCCAGAACCCTACAGGAGCCGAGAGCCAACTGTTATTGCAGGGACGCCTAATCTTCCTATCATTCCGGCTGCTCCTGAGGTGTGTTTGAAGAGTTCAGAAATATTTACTGATTTTGACATTGGGTTCTATGAATTTGTTGAAGGTACCTGAAGGTGGCTTCCTGCCCGCTGAGATCAGACGCTCACCGCAGTCCGTCTCTGGTGTGGCATCGTCTATTGATGACGACTCTTCGGACATGGTTGAGGATGAAGTGAGCAACCTAAATATCTCCAGGCCAAGCTACAACTTTTCAAAACACTTTATTTTCAGTTTGGCGCTGCCAATGATGAAGCTACAACGTCATCTGGTGGTCTCATTGGCACCATTTTCAACCTGATCGGTATGGGGCAAAAGAAACTCGCTGAAAGCAAGGCTGGTGAACTTGGCGCAAAAGCCACTGCCGAAGTGAGTAACTGGTGACTCCCGTTACCACCATGGTCCTGATAACAATTTTTTAGGACAAGAATGCTTTTGGTAAAGCAGTATCGAACCTAATCGGTGGTGAGAACAGCCCACTTCCAGCTAAGAATATGATCTCTAACGTTTTATACAAAGCGCTTACATCAAACAGCTTACAGGTTTGCAAAATATGCCACATTTATCTGATATCAAAAGCGCTCTCGAGATCTGGAACCATTTCAGCCAAATGACACTAAGGCTGAAAACCCTGAAGATCCACTGGCTCCGCTAGGCAACGGTACTATCGTCCTCACTCCAGCACAATCAGCTGCGATCACAGAGAATCTGGAAATGGTGCAGAACTTCATCATTCAACCGTCGTCACCACTTTGCACCCAGAAACCGGAACCAGTCGCTTTTGACATGTACTCATTTATGGGTCAATGGTATCAGGTCAGTTGTCTCGTGATGACCCAACTTAATTGATTTATTGCTTTTTTCCATTTATAATCGATGATTCGCTTTTCTATCCCGCCTGACACGTGAATTGACCTCGAAATAAGCGTTTCCAATTTATCCAAGGCTATTCGTTGCTCAGTTTGTTCGAATGTGATCATGTCGTTGACAGGCAATCCGTCACGTTCATCCCTTCCTCTACTAGTTTTTCTCTAGATTACTTCTTTTTTTCTTAACACCCTTCGCTTTCAGGTGGTCTACAGCCCTCCTTTCTCCTCTGGGCAATGTAGTATGGTAGCATACAAGAAGCTCAATGATGTAAATAACGGAGGTACGATCACTGATTAAGACCTGTAGACACCAATCTTAAGAAATTGCTTTCAGGACCTGGCTCAATTTTTGAGATTTTCGAATACACAACCGATGGAACCCCATATGGAAAGCCAAAAATCAGCTCGGGTTACGCAATGATCAGATCACCTGGAGAGCTCATCTACCGTACCACATCGAATCAAGAGGATGTAAATGGTGAGTTCGGATCTGCTTTTTCACAACGCGGATACAAATCCGTTACAGAGGCCTTTAGCGTGCCCAAAATGGAAAGTGCAACACAAAACCGTTATGCCGCGTGACGCGGTTTGTGTACTTTTGCCCTCTACACATCCAATTGTTGACTCTCCTCTTTCATTCACAGGTTACTCGTGAGTAATCCGGTTTCATTGATGTGGGTCAAATTGAGTGCGGAACGGACATGAGTGACCATGGAGCTAGTTGCAGTCATGCATGACTCAATCCATCCGCCGCTGATCGACGGACGACAGTAATCACAGTTATATCGGACTTGTTTCAGTGCACGTGCTCCATGTGGGACCGGTGAATGCGAACAACGAGTATGAGTACGTAATCATGTCTACGAATTGTAACTTCCCGCTCTACGTGTTCGCTCGTGATCCAGTTATGTACAAGCAGGTTGGTGATTAACTGCTAACACTAGCTAAAAAAGTCAGTGGTCAGCCAAACTACCAGGAGTGGCGTGGCAGGAGAGGATTTTGAACTAGCGCTATAAAATTGCATTCAACCTACTGGATAGCACGGAAATAGTGGAATACTACGGTGATACAAGGCTCTGTTATGGTCCTTATCAGGAATGGGGCGACCAAGTGTCGTTGAAAGAGATCGTATGAGGTGGACAGTGCTCCTCAACCCCTGCCCTAAAGTTTACCATGCACTCAGAGAGAAATACCTTATGAAGAGCTGCTCCAAATTACTTTGCCCGTTACTGTGAACACTAAGTAGTACAACCTTGACGGAGAAGATTAACTTGGCAGGCCATTGTATTTCCGAAGAGTTTATTAGTGCACGGCGACCGCTTCCTTTGTGCATATCAAGGCGCACAGAGGACTGAACAGTACCAAACGAAGCGAAATAGGTCAAATTGGTCAGATAATCTGTGAAGTGGAATTAACAATTTCAATTTCAGTTTAGACGGCAAAAGCGCATCGAATAGAACATCAAAGGAAATCCTGGTTACTGGGATTACTATAGTAAGAATTTCGGGTGGATTGGAACACAGGAGGTTCTGGAGTCCGCGATCCCAGGTTTTGAAAATCCACATCGAGGAAAAACTCACGGAGTTTCTAAATATGTTGGGAAGAAACTGATAAGAGAGTCGGCGGAAGTTCCCGGCGCTAGACTTATGGGACAGGCGCAATACAGTAACCTGCGCGTCAATCAGAGCATCCTCTACTTCGGAAAACGAGAAGAGTACATGTCAAATGCGGAACACACACCACATGTGACGACATCTGAGGAAAAAATCGTTTTTTCCTTACTTTTTTCCTGGCCATCGTAATTTGTGGTGTGTGGTCTGCAATCGACACTCTTCTCATTTTCCGAAGGTAACTAAGACTGAGTGTTGTGATACTGTAGTAACAATTTCAAGAACAAGCGAAAAATATATAATGTCCACCCCAACCCCGCAAGAAAAGAAAACGCGAAAAAAATGCGACTTCGCGCAGTAGCATCCTGTGGTATCATGAGTCAGACTTTTTAGCCACACCTCATGAAACTAAGGAAGCGTTGTCTTCTTGAGCTACAAACAATTTTTCAGCGCTACGAGGGTGAGGTGAACGCGATTCTGGAGAAGAAGGGCCTCGTCAACAGCATTTCACGCCTGCTGAACATCGTCGCCCCAGTGGAGAATTCGCTGTGCACGTTTCCACCGTCACTGTTCAACATTCATGGCTGAATATGTCCCGAGTCTCCTTCTCAATTTGCCATCATCATCCCCGTCTGATCTGATCCTTAGGGATTTCACTCGTCTTTCCGATTTATTTGTCCCGTCAATCCCTTTCACGTCATATCGCCTCATGCATTCCATACAAAGCGTGTTATTGATTAGTTTTGTTATTTATTCAGTTCAATAGTGAGTACTGATTGATTTTTTCTCTAAGCGTCCAAATACTGTGTACTTCGGCCGAGGTTCCGTGCATTATGTTGTACATAGCGTGGTATTTATTGAAAAATGTTAAGTGTGACTTGTTAAGGCGCTAACTTCCACTGTTGGTTCTCTCCAGTTAAAGTTCTAATGTCTGACACGTGTTGTTAATAATAATAATGGCAATAATAAATTCGTTATATTTCTGAGATTTTAATAGTATCGTGCCACAAGCACTTTAATGCTGAAAAATGAACTGGCCTGGCACGGGGGGGGGGAGCAGATGGCGCATAATTGACAGTCATATTATGCAAATGCATTTAAGTGTTCTACAATAAGGGAAGATTTACGGCATCCATTTAGCAACATTGGAGGAGTTCTCATGGTAACCGCAGGTTGGAATGGTACTGCCTGATTCTTTAAGAAATGAAAGCTCTCTTGGATGTTAAAGGTGTGGGAAAAGTTTCAGATGTTGGGTAGGGGCAAGCAAAAGGTTCTACTAGCCTGTTGCGTCTGCTGAGTTTGGGAACAACCTAATGACTTAATACCTTTGCTAACTTTCAAGTGCCTTTATCAAGGATCTATCGGTCATTTTTATGGATGCTTTTTTCTTCACAAGGCTCCAAGCTCTCTCACATGTGAACAAGGGAGGCATTCTTATTCTTTGCTATGGAGTTCTTCTCTAATTTGATGGAATGCTGAGTCTTTCGCACCTCTGATTTGGCCTAATGTTCGACGAAATGTCGTCAGAGTCATGCCTAGCATTTGAATGACTATGTATCCTCATTAAGGACAAGGCATATGGAACTGGTCAACTCTTTTTCGAGATGCGCCTCGAACTCTATTTTTCTCCGAGTTCGAAGTACATAGTAGTGGATTTGAAGCAAAACGGCCCATACAGCGGTTTGCGAAGGGTTCCGATGTAGAGCCTGGCGTTTCTGTCCTCCCAAGTAGCCTGTTACAAGTCATCGCTCGTGTGGTGGCTCAGATTGGAAGAATTCAGGTTGGAATTCCCTTCCCTGCGCAAGCGCTTGACAAGCAGCGATGACCACTACATCACTTTTGCCTCATATGTGCACATAATAATGGCTAAATAGTGCAAAACGAGCTGGAACAATTAACCGTTTAAACTGGCCGAACTGATGATTAGACAGTGTTGCATTCGAATATTAAACATGAAAAGAATCGGCCGAGCACATATCGTCCCTTTCATATATCAAGAGGAGCGTCTCTTGCAGACCATACATCACAGGTGACGACGGCCTTCACAAAATGCAAATGTTCCCTGCCAATGTAATGAAGCCTATTGCAGTTGTATTCTTTCAGTTGTCACCAATTACCACTCCCAAAAATCAGCTATCACTGTGAACCACTATACAACTATCACTACTAATCAGATTTACTTGGACTCCCTCGTCACTTATGGTGTATGGTCTGCAACCGACCCTCTTCCGGTTTTTAAAAAAAACGCAGGTGTCCTCATCTCAGAGTCGCCGACTGTCATCATCTCCAGGGAACTACTTTTTGTAGCCAGTAACTGGTCTCGGCTTACTTTGATCAAGGATCACCCATTCCTTGCTTTCCTTAACTTTATAGCCTGCAAACTTAATGTAGTCTGCCTTGGCATCTAGAAGGTATCTGTTTGAGCGAATAGCAGCAAATTCCTCTTGAGAATTAGACAGGGAAGTAGTCTGTTTTGCTAAAGACGGCCCTGCAGGCTATGATGCATCGAAGAAAGGAAGAATTGCCTTGCCCCTGTCCGATGACGAAAAAGGATTGGCATAGGTAACGCTAAAGAGGACTTCCTTTCACGGGGGGGGGGGAGAGAGAGAGCTGGGGTTAATTGAGGAGTTTTACAGTTCAGTTCATAGGGTGATACGTACTGATTCTGAAATTCTCCGATTGCCTTGAAGTCTGGAACTAAGGACGGCACAATAAACAGCCATTGGGCTTGCGAACTATAAAGGCGTACCTGCATGCTCGTAGGAATTAAGGAGAGCCGCTTTCGAAGATTTCGCCTTTTCGAATTCCGATTACCGACTTACGACTGAGACCCCTACGCCTACGCATATTACTGCACTCAATGCCTACGTACTTCCAAATGTTTCTGATGTTTCGTATACTCTACGTGTCTTGTGCACATTAGGTCGTCATTCCTGCTTTCTGGAGATCACTGAAGTTTTACGGTTTCTCCCACCAACGATAGGGTTACGCACTAAATTCGCGCAGCAAAAGTGGTCTCCTCTAGGTTCTCCCAACTTTCGTGCACCCCATTAAAGGGCTCGTCTCCTTTATGGAATGAGGCGATGCAGACAGTTTTTGACGAGATGATTTCAGTGTATGATGCGAATGCGATGAGCGGGGATATTTGCCGATGAACTGAACTTCACCGAACACGTTTTCAGGTCAAACGTATTGATGGGGCATGCAGCGACGGGGTGAAACCGGGGGGAAAATGTAGGCCTCCTCCGAACGTACGGCCCCCCTTCGCATCCACCACCACACCAATCCGGTGCCGAATTGTGTCGATCCGAATCCCTAGCGCCAGAGTCAGTAGTGAGATGTGTCGCGTCGTCACGCTCATCTCCATCATCGTTGTCGCTGTAACGGCGGCACCAGCTCAAGAAGCACCAACTTTCGAAAGCTTCACTAACGATGCTACACTTACGAAGGTAAGTACTTGTGTATTTGTGCACTAACTACAATTTGAACAATATTTCTTCAATTAATGAATTTTTTTATGACAATTTCGATGCTGGAAGATTTGGAATGATAAGTTTGAACTTGACAGTGACTAAAGGCCTCTCGGCCAAAAAATGCACCAGCTAGTAATAGTCCGAATGCTAGAGTCTTCGACTATCAAATCAAAGTCAGATCGAATACTCAGCCAAGTTTGTCGGATACGTTATTTCTTTCGATACTAGTAGGTCTAACGAGAAAGTAGCGTTTGTGTATGAATTCCGTTCATCGCTACATCTACTTGTAGGAGCAGCACCTTCCCTCGTCCATAACCTTTAAGTCCAGCACTTTCTGGAAGGCTTTTCTGCACCCGTACTGTGAAATTTCTAAGCTCTTCATTTACCGTATCCGCCCAAATTTCATTCAGTGAAACCTTAACTGTCCATGTTCGCCAAAAATCCCATCTACGCACAAGTGAAAGGAATTGTCGAAATGGAGCGCGATCGTTCCAATCTAGAACACCAGCGAATTCCAAGAAATCTCTCGGTTCGACACTAAATGATTCTGAAACAATTGTCCCAAACGGGTAAACGCTTGAAAACTGTGGATGGTTCCTGTTTATTTCTAAAAATTGAATTTTTTAGCTGCCGTCAAAGCCTAAACAACTAGCTCATGAACCTTTGCTGGCCTGAAATTTTCGAGTGACTCTAAGTAGAAATGTTGGAGTAGAAAAATGACTTTTACTTTCTAAGAATGCAAAGCTGTTCAGATGACCTTCATAGCTTGACTTCACAACTAAGAGTTTATTGCTTTGCCATAGAAATTTCTGAAAAATAACGCAGTGCAGCCTTAAATCGGCCCCTTATCCATTACATTTCAGTCCGGCGAAATTGGAGGTGGCAAGAAGCCCGATTTGGTCAAAGTGGGCGAAGTAGCTGAGTCCATCTTAAATCGACTTGGAATCAACATGAAGGAAGACAGAGGCGTCCGTAGGGCACCCGTCCCAAGCGCCCTCTATCAGGTCAGCTTTATCCTCAGCTTGTGTCCAAAAACTTACTTTTTGAGGCCATTAAAAATTACTTTTTTCAAGACCGATGATCTAAATGCTGTCATTGCGGAAGCAAATGCAAACCGTGTCGATTTGCAAGGAATCGCGTCGGGTCAGATTCCTGGCTTGGCACCGATTCCAGTACCAGGATATCCAGGACCACAGGATGTACCCGTTATTCCGGGAGTGAACACAATTCCTGGTCTCAGCAATTTCAACTACTTGGTACAAAGTTTTATCTGTGACACTTCTGAGAGTATTTATCGATTGATAGTAACCGTTCTTTTTAGGTTGGGCAGCTCTTTCCTCAGATGATTCCACCAGCGAACACTCTTCTCGGATCATCAATCAGTCGGATCCTTCCGAAAGACTCGGCTAAGAATCTAGCGAAGGACGTTTTTAGGTGAATCGTTGATTTCGTGCTCCAATGCACTCTTACAATCACCCATAAAAATTGGTTCAGGGCCGTTCATCCAGCCGCTGAAAACGTGGACGTCGCCAGAATGATGGGTCGATGGTTCCAGGTGATCAATTCGCCTCATGTGATCCGTGAAGCTTGCTCAGTTCTTCACTGTACGTCCTACTTAGCTTTAATGTAGTACAAGTACATGACCAGTAGAACAAACAAAAAACCATTTATTCCAGTTGGTGCCCTGACGAACAACACCTATTCGCCCTCATTTACCACATTGAAGTTCTACAGAGAAGGAAATCCGAATGGATCACCAAGGTAAGCGACAATCTGCAGAAATAACAACTTGACATATTTTTAGGCCAAAAACCCTTATTTCGCTGTAGGTTTGCCCTCGGCTACGGATTTAAATCTGGAGAAACTGGACAGTTCGTGCTACACAGCAGTAACTCACCCGACGCAGAGCCATGTATGTTCCATTGATTTTTACTCGAAATATTATTATATTTGAATTTTTCAGTCTGGGTTATCAAGAAAGGACCACTTAATGAGTACAACCAGTATGATTATGCTATCATCTCGACCCGGGTTCGATTCCCAGTGTTCGTATCAGCGAGCGTTGATCAGCTGAACGATTTCGTAAGGAGTATGGAAAGAACGTAGCTACAGCTTCCTCGAGGACAAACAGCTGAGTGTTATTGATTGGTTACTTGAATCTGAGATAACCAAAGTTGAAAGCAATCCATGTTTTAGACTATATTCCATGTTAATGACGAGCATTCAACAGTGATCTCACGGTTCGGATTACGAAGCCTTGTCAGTACACCCCACGTTTCTCTCGGTGCTGGCAATGTCAAAGAAGTCCTGCGGAAATCAGCTGCTCCGTTCACTTTCAATCTATCATCCGTTCCATTCCGTTACTCATTCATTTCCCCAAAACCGGGTTCAAGCTTTCATGAAAATGCCGTTGCACATTCCTGCGACAGTCGCCGACTGTATTACACTGCGTAATAATAATAATAATGAAATAAAATAATGTGATGTCACTTGTGTGAGTTCCCTGTAAAGCGATAAGATAAGAATGAAGGTCTTTTTCAAAAAAAAATCACCAGTCAAAACACCGAATAAACTCTGAAAGTCATCATACAATTTGCGCTAAATGTAGTACACGTTTGTCCGAAATCATCAACACACATTCCTAACTACTGCACCATTTCAATCTTATAGAACGTCTTATTGTTAGTAAGGCTGGTGTTAGAGTCCGCGATGCGTCGTGCGACGGGTCACAGAAATCGCAAATGAGTCGATCAATACTGCGACGTGCTCTCCAATCCCGCCGCCATTTCTGCTTGATGGTGAGGTTTGAATGACGACTGTTCATTTTTCTACTTGCCCCATAATCAGCGTGGCGAGAGTGTCCAAATGAGGCACTTTCAGTTTTTGCGATCGGGTCGCCGACTCTGACACCAGCCTAATACTGGATAAATAGTAAATTGTAGAGTTAAATTCTCCTAGGGACATAGCATAGCGATATGTTGGTTTCCATTCTACTGCCCAAAGACAGACAGATTGACAGGTAGACAGAGAGACTGACAGACAAAGATATAAGCTTGAGTAGCAACTATGAAGACTAGCTTTCACATAATTGCACAGCGACCTCCTTCGACATTTCGTCGGAGACGCTGAGGCGAATGCTGTTGAGCGAAGTGCTGATGGATCACGGAAGTCTTGGATCGATTGATGAGCAGGTCTGTACGGAGACTTGGGCGTCGAGCGTTCAAATCTGTGTACCTGAACAAGCAAACGTTGCTAATCCGCAATGATCTAGTGTGCGAGATAAAACTGCGATTGGTGCGTCTCTTGAAGTAGCCAATCACAGAAGTGCTCACTCTAATGCCATACGGCAATAAAGCTTGCCACCAGACAGCATTGCTGCGTAAGATGTTGCACCCCTTTTTAGAAAATTGATTTTTCAAATTTCTCTTATATGTAGGCGCCATAATACATTGAAAATAGTACCGATCACCAAAGTAATACGTCAGGCAGTTTTTTGTGTCAAGGAAGCCTCTTTTGTCATCCTGCCCAGTTCTTTTGCAAAGTGTATATAGTAGTGTAAATTCAATTTCAAGTTAATTAAACATCAAATGGAATTCAAAAAAGGCTTCGCCGCGGCGCCATCTACGCGGTGCGCTCACTGACTGGCTGGGTACAAGCTGTAGGTCTATAGCCGTCTGGCAGAAAGAGCATTAGCGTTGGAGAGGGCAGCAGCGGGGAGAGTCGCATCAATGTGGAGGGAAATCAACAAAAAAGGAAGAAACGTCATCTACGGGTTTTAGCCGTTTCCCATGCTTCTTCTTCACTCCGGCACCATTGACCACCCCTTATTTCTAATGAGCTGCCTTTTTATGCCAACTAAGACTCAATGTTAGACGCAGTCTTGCCTCACCGTGGGATCTCTCCACAGAAGTTGCATCAGCGTCTAAAGTGTTAGCCAAATAGAAGCCAGAAGGGATTCCACCAAGAGATTGCATACAAAATTATTGTGGTAGCATCATAGATTCTAATAAAGAACAATGAATAAAGCACCCAACTCTACTCAATCGATTTTTGGTTGAGCCACGCGCTCTACTTCCATTCACAATCGCAGTTGTATTTTGAATGCATCATAGTCATTACCTATGCAATGACTTGCAGAAGACGGCCGATGTACAAGTCAATGTTTTTGTCCATCCAGTCAAGTCTGATACCAATCATGCGAACCCGGAAGGATGGAGGCTTCGTTATTCCTGACGAGGTTCACCGGAATCACACTGACCGTGCATGTTATGAGTAGCGCCACTTGCCACTGCCCCACTTGCGCCCTGGGCTCCAATGTTAAACTGATAATTTTTTGCCACCTCTACGAATTAAGGCTTGCAGCCCAAAAAGGCTTAGTTGTTGACGATCTTCCATCCTTTTCCATTTACATGCTGGAAAATGTGGCCAATTCTCGCGGTGAATAGGGAGGGAGGTATTTGATGATGGCTACTGGATCATGCTGCAAGCCCACCTTTTCACTGGTCTAGCCCCAGATCGATCTTGGCGAGAATCGCACCACGTTTTACATTAGAGCATAAAATTTGCAATCACCCGCTTTTGCAGCGGTCTCGTGGTTCAGTAGCGAATTTACGGTTCACTGATATAAGGTAGCGATAGCATGTTGTTTTCTGGTAGATGATGGCCAATCCCCAAAAGTTGGGGAGTCCTACCATAAGGTCATGTTTTCTGTTTTGATCCTTTTGTGGATGCGCCAAGCATTCTCCTTCCGGAATCATCCAGAAATATTCGAAGGCGATACAGTTTATACAATGACTTGCAGGGGCCAGTGTATAGTATTTATCCTCTGTTAGCAAATAAACGACTCCGGAAGGTTGGATGGGTTGGATGGTCAGTGGGAGGTTCGATGCAGGAACTGACTCTTGAGAATACCTGAGGTTGCGGTTCACTTGCCTCTGCACCACCTCGCCTGCGCTGAGGGAATGAGAGACTAAGCGCGGAGAGGAGAGTATGAGGAGAGAGAGCTCTACAGATGAGAGGTCGTTAGACAATAGCCTGACAAGAAAAAAATCTGCAGCTTTAGCAGCTCACTCTGGAAGGCTGAAGCGCTCTGTCGGTTTGTTTCCCTGCACGAGAATGCCACACTTGTGAATGTCTTCTAGGGATCTATACTACAGATCGAAGGGAAGCGTTCACACATCCTCTGCCTGGATTGTGCCTTTAAGCTACTACTGCGTAAGTTCCTTCATTTTATTTTCTACCGAACCACTGTAGTTTCCATCGAGTCGTGAGTGAAACACTTGCACCCACTTTCAGAATCACTTGATCTGAAACATATCGTCGATGACTAGGCATACACAGAAAAGTGCAGCTCACAGTTCTGTCAATTGAAACCCTTATTACATTGAAATTTTTGGAGAACGAACCCTGCTTGATAAAAACCCTGAAAAGGATGATCTCGCCTCGAAGGAAAACCACAAGTATAAAGCGGAACAGCCCTTCGAGGAAGTAGTTTCAATAGCATTTTCAAGTGGTAATCCCTTTCAACTTCTTGTTGTCCATTCATCGCTTTTCCCCTTTGGTAACCTAATGCGCTTTCTGTAGTGGGTGATATACCGACTGAATACGTGATCGAGATGGATGTCAAACATCGTCCACATGGAGTGCGAAGCCGACGTTGGTTCGGACGTCCTTAAAGGAGGAATTCACGATTGGAATGAAAGTCGAAGAAGGGAACTGACCTAGTTGAGGGACCCGCGGACCTTCTGAGGGTGCGAACTGACGCGCAATTCGCATGGAAAATTTGACCTCGGCGACCTATCATAGCCCCAAAGCTGGCTGGGTCCGGCGAATTTCCACCACCGAATCATGCTCGAATGAACGGGCAAGGAAGGGGTCCCATTTCTCGGGTTCTGAGCCGTTTCTCATGGTTCTTCCCTCTAGGTTTTGAAATGGGTTGGTTTTTCATCGTGAATTCGTCCTTTAAGACCATCTCGTCGATTCACTCATTGTAGAAGGGAGTCCTGCTGAGACAGGTGATCAAGTTAACACTCTTTTTGATGTGGTTAAGCATTTGGCGGGGCTCAGGAACTTGTGCTATTCCTTAGACTTCGCGTCATGAGAACTCCTCCTATCATGCGAACAAAAGTACATCCATGCTTCTGGAGTTAGACTATCTCAGAGTTTCGTCCAAGAATACGGAGATGTCCCTTGTTGCTGGCATGAGCCCTTTGATTCCAACATGGCCTCGCGATGTGCATTTCGATAGACTTTGTTCGATACGGTACTAACTTCACATAACAACTCGGTGGTTTTTAAGTATTGCTCGAGGACCTCTTGATGAGTTTGCCCTGGAGTAATCAGGTGATGCTAAGGCGAACACATTGTGCTAGTATTACTGTGGCGAAGCCAACACTATGGTTTCAAGGTTTCCAGCTTCGACCCCTCAGGGCTCCTACAGCTTCTGTGGAAGGTGGGTGTTGCGACAAGGAGCAAGGTTCATCTACAGCTTGAATATCTAGTAGAAGGCAATGGGGAACGAATACAAATAACCTTGAATATGCTATTGGATTGTCCCTCTGTGCGAATTTCACTTTTCTCTCACCGAAATTCATCTTTCCTGAAAATCGACATAGCAACTATCATGATCACTGATATGTACCCATTTGGAGTGGATGCAGTTCTCAACCAATTAGTGGAAGTAGGGGTTGAAGAATTCAGAGTGGTTAGTTTTGCGTTGACGGTATTCCATGACGTTTTTCTGTTGAAGCTGCCGCTTCAGGGCTCTGTGGAGGGGATAGCCCGATGTGGTAATGTCAGGGCCATACGATGAATTGCTACTGTGGTCCAGGTAATTCCCCTTAAAACGTGGCGAATTGTCTCTGCAATGTGGTTTCCGGCGGTCTTTTATAGAAAAAGGATCTTGAGAGATTTGAAGCGTTCCCTTGCACTACAGTGGCCAACCTCGGAAGCTTTTCTACTGTTACCTTTGCAATGCTTGCCTGCATACAGTTAGGCGGTTCTCACAGCTGGATAGTCAGCGAATCCAGTGATCCGGGAGTAATACGTTCTTATGACAGAACTTGGGATGCTTCTCGGTCATGGTGGTCGGTGCATACGGTTTCCATAGACATCTTATACTGCTGTAGCCCGTTTTATCAGGATGGCGCGCGCGGTGTATCGGCTGTGCCTTGATGTCTACGGCAGTTTACTGATAGAAGCGTTTGGGTGTGCCTCCAACTGGCCGATGTCAGACTTTGCGATTGGAGGCGATTGTGCACCAATTGTAGAAGCGACGGGAGATTTGCATCCGCCGACCACCGATACACACGGCGCCGCTCCGGTAATCTCCCGTCGCTCGCACTTGAAGCGACGGATCGCTCAATGCGATCCATCGCTCGGTGCCGTGATGTGCCTCTCTTTGGCCGTTGGTGGCAGGAGCTGGAGCGACGGGAGATTTACGAGCTGATGGCGCGAGTTATCGGTGGTCGGCCGTCTGTGAATCTCCCGTCGCTCCTGCAATTGGTGCACAATCGCTCCAATCGCAAAGTCTGACATCGGCAACTCATGGCGCAAGAGGTTCCAGTCGAGAGTGACTAAAGGTTACGGATGAGGTCGAACATTGCAATGATTGATCATTATCATTATCATCATTGATCCTATCGAGCCTATACCGCAGTGCTCGATCAGTAAGGGGTACTGGGTGGAACACAGCGCTGATTGTGATTACTGCGCTCCTTGCAAGGTTCGCCTTTGAATGGACGTGAAGCATAATCGTTTGCTTTGGTCGTTGATCAATTTCGACTCCTAGTTAGATATCCCCTTGCTGATTTCAACTGCTTAAACCTACTTGCTGAAGGCCTTGATGCATTCTCCAATATACTAACATATTTCGCAATGACACTGATTTGACTTGAAGAAAATTGAGTTTTTACAGAAGTAAAGTCCGACAGGAATTATGGGACAACCCAATATTTCACTACTTGTTACTTTGTTGAATGAAAAACTTGCAACTGTAGTTCAAGTACGTTTTTCTGATAAATTCCATTTGTGGTCGCTTGAATGGTTGCGTCTGACCTCGTGCCTTCCAAATGTGTGAACATAGGTCTATCAGTGATTGTATCAGACGGCGAAATCAGGTCATCCGTGTAATCCAAGAAGATGTCGAAAACGATATGGGAAACGACGTGACAAGTCGGAAAGGTTTCATCGCTGAATTCCTTCAACCCAGTTTAAAGCATTCCTCGAGCACTGCAGAGACTGACTGATCACCACAATTGGTGGAGGAGATTTGAAAAGCTACAGGCATTGCTCTGAAGAATGAAAATCTCTAGCATATGTCTGGAAAATTTCTGTACTTATATTATTCACAATTTGAATGAATTTTGTAACAACAGGATTTAATTTTTCCTTAACTGTTACATTTGTAAACCTGAACTGTGGGATACTGGCCAAAGATGATCCTACGGCGCGATCGCACAGTGGGATTGGGGGGGGGGGTTCTTATTTGGTTTGTTTTGCGAGAAATTGGCTTCAGAGCGGAAACCAACCTTTTCCATTTGTCCAAGAATTTGTTTTTTGAATCTGAAGAATTTTCAGGCAATTGAGAAAGTTTTACACTATATTCCAAGTTATAATATTTGAATCATATTTATACAACTTATGATCAAATACTAATTGTTATTTTAACAACAATAATATAATAACAAAAAGAAAAATAATAATAATGATAATAACAATAAAAATAAAAATAGTAAGAATAATGAAAATAATAATGTTGAACAACAGTTTGAGGCTCTAAAAGTTCATTTCAAAAAGCTTCAAAAGAACTTAATCCCAAAAGGTTTTCAAAATTATTGCGATATTTCGGTGCCTAACACCTTCGTCAGGCCTGAAAGTGCTAGGCACCAAAAAATTGCAATAATTTTGGAATACTTTTGAGATTAAGCTCTTTTGAAGCTTTTCGAAATAAATTTTTGGAGCCTCGAACTTTTTAAATTTTTAATTTTAAAACAATTTAACATTTAGATACCTATGAGGCTTCGAGACAGCATCATACTGAAAAAATAATAATGTTGAACAAGAATGCTGGGTTGTGAATAAAACTTTCAGACGAGAACTTAAACCCACACCTTTTGCTTACCGGGCAAGGGCGCTACCAGTTACGCTACCGGAGCACCAATTCGTTCCAACTCAGCTTTTCATGGTATACTTAACAAACAAAACAAGTCAAAATAATAATAAATTAAGATAATTAAGAACAACAATTTAAATTTGTCCCAAATTCTGCTGTATACATAGAGTAATGTTTCCTTGTCCTCAAGACGGGAAGTTTAGTAATTGGGAGGAAGATGTATGTAAAGAAGGAGAGGATCGTTGGTCAAAGGAATCTTCCGCGAAAAAAAGATCGCCTCATTCCTACAAAAAAACGATACCTTAGGCCCCTCGTCTCATGAAGATAGCAAAAGGAACGGAAAATAAGCGATGGTTTTGATAATAATTATGATAATCAGTTCGACTATGAAAAATTTGAATTCCCGCTGTAAAACTTCCACAACTCTTAGCGGCGTGGAGTGAACACGTGCAAACGTGTCAAAAGCGTGAACGTGGACAGAATTCATGTTGGGCCCTTCCCATAAATTGACAGTGGATCCGCACCTGCCATGCACTTCGTCATAGAAGCACTTCCGGTCCCGCCTACTGGTCCAATCTGGTCCCATAAATGGGTCCTTCCTGAGGCTGTTTCTCTTGGAGATTTCATCATTTTCGCTTCGAACTTTGCACATGGTCTTCACTGACCATGCCCAACAAATCTACACAAGGAAAGGATTAGCAGTCTTTCCGTGGAAGATTCCTTTAATAGTGACATTCGGAACTGTATGCTGCGCCTTGGTCTTGTTGGCGTAATGGCTAAGCCCAGTGCTAGGAAAGCATAAGAGCAGGTTCAAAATTGTTCCGAGCCAAATATTTCGACCATATTTCGGTATCGCTGTAGAAACTTAGGATTTGTTCCCATATCGATCGATTCTCTTTCACATTCAATTAAAGTCTGAATTCGGCAAATATAAAAACGTACGTTGTCATGTCGTCCTGTTCTCGGGAAAATCGACTCCTCATCCTTCTCAAAATATGCCGACGCCCCGTTTCACCGTCGGCAGACAATTCATTCCGAAGCATTTTGTGCAGCTCGGGGTTCATATGCTTGGGGCATTTATTCATGGTGAACAGCTTGGCGAATGCCTGAAGGTATTATAGTAGGACGGATGAATAGCACTTCACTACCTACGGAAAAGCTTGGGCTATACACTGTTTCTACTTATGTGGGTATTTAGCCTTATTACTACACTGCTTTACTTACCTCAGTAGAAGTGTATCGAAGAGAAGACATGATAAACTTTTAGAGCTCTTGAAAACATTACGAGTCGCAATGGTAACCCATTACTGCGAGACTGACGGTTTTGTTGAAACCACCATCGATTAGGTGCCGGAAGTAGTCACTCCTAGAGTGAGAAGGGGGTTTCCCAAGGTAACGTGGTTTGCCGCAACTCAAAAGTGCACGGTAAGAGCGTTATGTCTTACCATGTGCGCTGCCAGCGCTGCAGGTCTACTGTTCACTTTGGGACCACTGGATCAATCCCGCACACGGTATATACTTCTAGCTGTCCACTTTCCTGGTTTTGTCTGCGCTCTCTTTCAAAGCAGTAATGACCCGCCATCCAATGGGGCGCGACGTCTGCACTCTCTCGCGTGCTAAGTGCTCTCTCGCCTTTTCCCTATCCTCGCAGCGCTACGTCTCTCCGTCATACCACAGCCGATATCACAGGGCAAATTTCAGGGTTTTCTATCGTGCTTTTCTTGCTTTTCTACCCAATCACGTTCCTCATCACTTGCTATGTGAATTTTTTTTAACCAAATAGCGCACCAATTCTATTCAATCCCGACCTGTGCATTCGAGAGGTGTTCATTCCGCAGTTATGGAATTTTTTCGAATTTTCCCTTTCTAAAGTTGCCTTTTTTCTTCTGTACAACAACTATTTAGATCCTCCGAAAATATTTGTTTTCAAAGGAAAGGTCAATATGTAATCTGTGCAATGGATGACTGATTAACCATTCTAACAAGGAATGAAAAAAAAACTAATCGACGACAAACTATACTAAAAATAAAACTTTTGAAACGTTGATAGTCTCCTGAAAAGAAAAGTAGTACAAGTTCGCTTTTTTCCTTTTTTTTACAAATCCATGTGAAGTAGGAGAAGTTATTGGGGGTAAGGCCTCTCGAAAAGGCTCTGAATTGTTCTTCAAGAGATTTCGCGATGAGCGATAAGAGAAATGACTCTTACTACGGGAATTTTTAGTGAATTTATCTTGCGTTTCTAGAGGGTTTCTGGGGGTTTCCTAAGCAAAATAAGTACTCGACGTTGTTGAAAATGAATTGCGCTATTTCTATAGATGATCTCTAGTAAAGGTTGAAGCAGACGGAGGAAGCAGAAATCCGTATCACCTTGTCAATGTTAAGATTCGTGGCTGCCGAACAGACTATTAGGCCATCACTCGATCCTGTTGCCTGTTCTACTAGCTCTGCCACTTCTTTCTCAGTCGTCTGAAACAGTCCCTTGATGTACGAGTAATCAATAATCATCTGAATATAAAGCTAGTTAACGAAATACCTGCCAGCGATGTTCTGGAAGATCAGCTTTATTCAAAATGAACACACATGGGGTATCCTCACCACCTGTGGCACCTCGTGACGCTTTACAGTCATTGATTTGCTGCCGAATCTGAGATCTATTAATTATGTACGTAATCAATAATATTGATCAATCAAGGTTCCACAGAAGTAGATTAGCTCACATCAATCATTTGAGCTACGGAATCGGCATTGTCAACGGAAGAAACAAGAAGAAACATGTCACCTGAAATGAAACTACCTCTGCAATAAGTTTTACTGTAACTCCGCTGGGCTAGTATTCACTCTAGGACTACTGGATCAGGAGTATGTGCCAAAAGTACATGCCGGGATCCCGCACAGCGCGTTTACTTCTAGCCGTCCACTCTTCTGTTGTCGTCTGCGCTCTCTTTCAAAACAGTAATCACCCGTCATTCAATGGAGCGCGCTGCTCCAATCACAACGGCGCAAGGCTATTATTTAACACATTCACGCCGATGGCCGCCCATATGGGCTGCCAACAACATGCGTTGCGCAGTTTCGCCCGATTGGACACGTTCTCTCGCGCGAACATTCACACTCGCATGCTCGAGCCGTCTGCGTCTCCGCCCATACAGCGTGCGTTGAGGATCTCTAAACGTGCCGTTGCGAACTGCGCAACGCAGGGTTGACTCTGGTCCCACGTGACCGAAAAGTGGAAAAGGGGCGTCGTCGTGAATGTATTAAACAAGAGAGCGCAGACAAGAATAAGAAATTGAACGTTTCGAACGGCTGGGATAACGCAGCAAATCGTAAAGCACTCGGATGTACGGCGTATATTGGGTCATAGCCCTAATCAATGGACCTGCGCTTGGATGTCCAAATCCTTAATGAAGATGAATGATAAAGGCGACGAAAAAAGTTGCACAAGGATGGGTTCCGAACGAAACTTCCTCCCAGGCAGACTCTAACTCGCCCCGGTGCGCTACAAGTTATGCTATTGCAGTTTGAGAATTGATGAAAAAGCCTTGCCTGAGATATAGCTGAGCTTGCGAGCGGCTGGAAATGGATCGTTTCCTGAGCAGTCGATTATGTCTAACTGGTAGACTTCGCTTTTGATTTTGTACAATTTCCTAAAAAGTCTTCCAAAAGTAGAGAAGACAGTGACAATCAAGCTAGCATTGCTGTAGAGCTTTTTCTTCACATCAGATAAATGGAAAATCCTAACTAAATATTTGCTATATTACACATGCAAATGTTGTAGTCATTAATGTAAATTATGAATAAATGTAAGTAAATAAAGTAAAAATAATGGATTATTATCAAAAGAAGTGTAAGTGAGTAATACATATATAAATAAATCATAAAGATATGATAGAGCACTAAGAATTAATAAAACGTAGAGAACAAAAGAAACAAGAATCAAATAAATACAAATATGATAAAAGGATAAAAAAAGAGAGCATTGAGCGTTGATCAATCCCATTTTGGCATGAGCCGTGCATTTTACTTCCATCCAGAATCGTAGTGGGTACTCGAAGGAGATTTGGCTTATACAATGACCTGAAGGGGCAAGCCAAGGTACAGGTCAGTGTTTTATCTTACCAAAGAAGCATGTCACTATATAACCAGCCCTGAGGATGGAATACTTAGCTGGCCTGGACAAAGCACGATACGGATTTGATCCCCGGACCGTGCGTGTGTGAGTAACACCATTTACCACCACACCGATTTAGACCACAAATATGATTATGATATCAATGAGAGAATGCATATCCATAAGTGTAGAAAATGTAATTCTTACTTACCTGTAAAAGTTTTCAATGGTGGGGATATATCGATCTTCAAAGTCCGCATCAAGGAATCGTCCCACAAGTGATGATTTACCCGTCCTTGCAGAACCAACTACTACCAAACGGAATGTCTGAATTCAAAGAAAATGAAAAGAGGACTTAAAGTTACTAGCACGCTGCCTAGCACAATGGCCGAAGGTGCTATTTGAGTGTGGTTTAAAGATCAATATCGGCATCTCACGGTGCGCCACATGGTGGCGCACACCGCCACACAGGGTAGGGTTTATGTAGGCTTATGCGAATAGCAGGGTTAAGACGGGGCTAAACTAGGTGTCCTTGTCTCATCATCCAAAAGAAGAGATTTCCGCTGAAGACAATTTCGTAACCCGCCTTCCCGCTTCAAAACTAGGGTGCAAAGGATGAATGGAAGCTGCAGGTGAAATCATGAAAAAATGCGGAACAGCAACCCCGGGAAAGGATGTGGCTATATTTTGGGGAAGGGGTCTCGGGACGAGAGAACCATCTGTAAGCCATTCATCAATTAGTAAGCTTATGAAAATTAGGACAAAGTGTATGTAAAATTTATTGTAGGTTTGTCAAAAATCGACTCGTCCACGTCCTGGAAAGATATGTTATTCCACATTGCTGAGAGTATATACGGGTAATATTGTTAAAAACGTAACAATAAAAAAGATAATCGTGCGCCACCATGTGGCGCACATCGTCCGTTATGGGTTAAGTGTAACTGCTCACTGAGCGCTTAATTCGTTCCTTTGCTTGATTTGTCCAGGTAGATAATTAAGGGGTAGGTGACCAAATTTAGCGCTAAAAATACCAATAACATAAAGTTGTAAACTTCAATAAATCCTATGCAAAAAAGTAAAGGTAGATAATCTGAATATGAGCAACTACAGGTGCTTTAAAACCATCCATTCTTAGGGGAAATTTTTAGCGGAAGTGATTCCCAAAAATTAAAATGGCTTTTAAATTTCCAGCTCCGTGATCAGAGGGCTTGGGAAATATTCGAATCGTTACCGATTTATCCCGACAGATGTAAATTGCGACATGGACCTCGAAATACGCCGGATTATGGATAACCGGGGCTAAGCCAAATTCTCCTTTTCCCCCGCACGACTATAAGCCAATCTCTCGACTTCAAAGCTCATTGACGGAGCTCCAACTTCACATGGTGTTTGATCGTTCAATGTAGAGAAAGTCAAGCACCTGTCCATTATCTGGTGCTCCAACACTATTTTTTCAATACACCACCCGGGATAGCCTTATGGTTGAACAGCTGCTTTGCCCTTGAAGAGATGATGGTTGAGGTTGAGGTGATGAATTTCAATTGCACGATTTTGAAGGCAGAAGGGAGTAGACTGGGGTGCAATGGAATTGATTTTGATTGACGCACGCCGATTTTTTGAATACGGTAGGCGTGAAATATATGTACTGGCTGAACTATTGCTGGCCGCCATGGTGTCATGAGAATCGAAGGAATTCGTGAATCAGCGGGAGCATAGTCAGTTCAAGGAGGGAGGTAGGGGGTGAGAACTGTCACTTCACATGCATGAGAAGCCGGTATGTTTGACTTACTTCCATAGCGTCTCGTCACGTCATAGTGGGACCGTCACCACGTACATACCTTCACACCCACCGTATTCAAAAGATCAGCATGCCCAGCCCTCCGGGTGTGTGTATGTAGTATGTAGTAGTATGTAGTATGTAGTATGTATGAGTATGAGATGTCTAGGTAGCGGTAGAATGACGTTTACCAGAACATTCTTCAAAAAAACAAAAGTGGGCGGAGTTTGTGCGGTGGGCGGAATATATGTGTATGTATGCATGTATGTATGTGTGTATGCATGTATGTATTAGATCTATAGTGGAATGTGTAACTCGCGAAACGTCATTCAGCTTTTTAAGTCAATCACGAATTCCTTTCACTAATGTCGCTGAAATGAAGGATTAAATCTAACAGATTAGAGTTTGCGATGTCGATATGGAATGCGTCCTTTCTGGGATGCGCCACGCATTCTTTCTCTTCGGACGAAGTAGAAACTTTTGATGACAATGACTTGAGGAGCCACCGGAGTACAATCCAGTGTTAGGTCCCTCAGTATGAGGCCGCCACCAATTAACGAGAAATCGAAGGCTTGGGTGGCCTAGACGGCATTCGATTCGGGATTTGACCCCCGGACCGTGCCTGGTCAACCAATTGTGCATACACCACCTGTGTCCCACAATATTTGTTTGCCACTAATTGAACTGATATAAAATGCTGCTTGTTTTACAGCTGATATGTAGTGGCAGAGATATAGTGTGGTTTTGGCTTTCTGTTCTCAAAAACAAGTTTGGACCAGACTCTCCTCTTACCCTTCTTATTGCGGTGATCCCTGCGTAGATGGAGCTGTCGTGCTCTTTGGTCCGCTGGTGCCACCTATTAATACTGGCCGACTAAATGGTGTAGTCATTTGAGATAATTGTTAGCTACGGTAGACGTCTCAGAGTATTCAGCCTCTATTCGAGAACTGAGACATAGTTCCCCCTACTACGCACAGCCGCTGGTTCCTGCTCATTCACAGGATTTGTGAAGGCAAAATTCTCTCTTTCATCTATTATATTTTCTCTTCCAGTGAAAAACTAGTAATGCTTCAGCTCGCAAGTAAAGTTCAGGCGTTAAAGTGCGACTAATGAAATCGGTTCAGGCTAAGAGAGACTGAAAGGTCTTTCTGATGCGATTAATCGCAGTCGGCCAGCTCTCACATATGAAAAGCACTAATTGGTAAGAAGAGCGTTTGCCTCACATTCCCCCTTTGGCAGCTAAACTGGCGCCAGACCCATCATAGCGAGGACATTATGGGCGCACTTGTTGAGCACTATGCAACTGAGAGCCGCCAGAAAAAGAGGCCATTGAGATGAGCTGCATTCAAAAAAGTGGTCCTGATCATCTGCGTTATTCGTCTCCTGAGACAACACGGTGTTGAAATTGATTGAGAAACCCCAAAACGATTAGGATTCAAAACTCAGGGTCATTTCTTGTTTAGAGCTGGTGTTTTGGAACGTCAGAGGCATCTCCAGCAACTGCACTGATGAGGTTATTGCTCTTGAAAATAAAAGCTGAAAAAGGAGGTGTGAAATGAAACCTTCAATGAAGAAGGAAATTGGCCAAAATTCCTGAAACTGGAGAGCTCTGGGATAGCGGGAGACCCTATGAAGCTAAAACTGACAGTTCAAGGGATACTGTGCGCTAGAGCGAGAGAACAGACGCAAAGACGAGAGAACATAGAAGATGACGAGACGCAGACATTAATATTAACAGGTGGCAGGTCGCTGGAGCAGTCGTTGCCTTGGGGTACCCGACAGGAGGCCCGTCGCGCGGCAAGAAGACAGGGTCAACGGACGAGTCGCAGCGCGTACTGCATTGATTTTGCGTCAAGTCAAATAGAATATACCATCTTACGTTCTACGCATATTAAGCGCTGCGACTCGTCCACCCATTCTCCCTTCTTGCCGCGCGACGGGCTTCCTGTCGGGTACCCGTAGCCTTGCGGTGTGAGTCCCTGGCCTCCTTCACACGCGACTCCGGGTAAAGAAATTCATTTTCCACGTTTGGTTGTTACCAGAAATCTTGAGATACAATAGAGTACAAGCATTTTTTACTTTTATTGTACTAGAATTAATGTGAGTGAACTTCCAACTTTGTTGTGATTTTCTATAATTACTTGAATATGGCCGAAGCCCTTGTTCGGCAATTCAAGTTTTCCACATTTGGATCCCTTTCTACCAGCAGAAGCAGAAAGCCGATATGTACTTTAAACTGGTGAGCTATTAATTGAGTAAAGCCCATCCATCAGACGTTCGTCTTTTTTGTGTTATATGGAGCTATGCCGGCTAATTGGCACTTCCGAAATGCATCTCGTCACAGCTCTATACATAGCCTGGGTTAGCAATGGGAAGCGTTTTTAGTGTCTTTTCAAGACCAATGCCGGAACTAATTTGGTGGCGAAGGTCTGATGCCAATATGACCCAGCTATATTGCAATGGCGATAGGAAGGGGAGAACTTATCATTCTCTTGGCGTATTAAGGGCAAACCCCAGGATTAGTCCAACTAGTAGGGGTGATATCGTGAGGGAAATTGAAAGGTCCGTATCTACCTGGATCACTCCACCTTCGTCGCAAAAACTGAGCGGTAGGGCGACAATCCTGCAACGCTCCCCACCCTCTGCGCTTGATGGTAGGGAACAGTGCCCTCTCTCGAACGGCGTGCTCTCTCGCGTGTTTTGTCTTCTTAGATCGTCCTATCTCGCCATCGTACCACATCCAAACTTCTTGAAGGTTAGGGCTTTAATTCCAGCGTTCCCAAAGTTTTCTTTTGCTTTCTTTAACACTTTCAGGTCGTTCCGCTACTAAGCTATCATTACGATGCGCTCCTGCTCGGAAGTTTTAATCCCGGAAATTATATTTAAGTGTTGTCTCGTGATGGCGGCCCAAACATAAAGCCGTAGTGACCGGAAGAAGTACCATGTCACGCTTCAGCTCCAAAAATGAGATTCCAAAAAAAAACAGTTTTAAGAAAAGCTTGCTCACTGTACAATTGTTGGTAGAAAGGGCACAGTAAGGGGTCATGGAGCAAGGCATTTGGTGCTGGATGCAGCCAGTTGTAATGTTTTGAGAAGATATAGTACCAGTTCATGATCCCGGAGTGATGGAAGACCTGATTGGCCTTGATGGTGTGCGATCCAGGATCCGATCCCAGAATCGTATTCGGGACACGACGCCTGTTCGCACTAGACTACTTCGAACTCGTGTATTTTTCTGATAATCGCTTCCTTTTCGATTTGCGGGTGCTAAAGTGTTGAGCTCGTCTCAGGCCCTGATTCAATTTCGATGCCGAGGGAGTTAGCCCGAAATAAAACAACAAAAGTGCCATGGATGGCCTGAGAAGTGCTGAGCGACTAGCGATAACAAAAAGCACACACGGACACGTCATATCTCCTCTAGGAGGAAATATCCCGAAAGCTCCTGCCCTCTCGAATTGCTGCTCGTGCTACAAGTCGTAGAAGGGAATTCATCCAAACAACCTACGTGATCTACATCTAGCTCCTTGGTGCCTTTTCAGAAGCTTTCAGA